AAAAATCAGGAAGGATTCAAATTCTTGGAATATGCATTTTCCCAGCAAGCATTTTCCTAAAAGTACCTGATATAAAAGCTCACAGAAGAAATTATTTTCAAGTCAGAATATCTGGGATGTAGTCCCAGCTGTTTGCCCTTGAGTGAGCCACATCAAAAAGCAGCCTCTATGCCTCAGTTTCCTCACATCTACAGAAATAATAAATAGAAGGAGTGATCTCATTTATGCCTGGAAAGCATGCTGAGCTGATCTGGTGAGAGACACTGACAAAGTGTCATGCATTATTATTGCATTAGGCTGACTGCACTTCTGAAACCCCTCTGACATTTCCCACTTGGCCTCAATTGTGGGCGGTAACATTTCTGTATTAAAGAGGATGCTTTATATCACTGCCTGATGTAAATGACATGGTTCATGATTAAACATTTTCTAAAAAGGCAGTAACCTGTGAGATCCTCTCCCCTTCTCACTTCATTAAGCTACCACATTACAAAGTGTTCTGCTTCATTACGGATCCTGCCAAGCAGCTCTACTGCGCTCCTTGTAGCTACATGTGAAGTATTGAGGTGAAGTTCATAACTATATTTGGGTATCAGGGTTTATTTCCTCTACTCCGTTGAAGGGGAGCATGACGAGCAGCTGAGGAATGCTAGGGGAAACCGTCATTAGCATCAGCAGCCTGTGCCAGGGCTCAGGCTGCCCGCTGAGTCCCGTTTGTGGTATGAGCAGTTAAATCACCGGCCTTTGGCATGGGGCTGGGACCACACAAACACAGCAGGATCAGGTCTGCTCCGCTAGCATGCTCCTGAGAGCAGAGCGGAGCACGGCAGAGAACAGCAGCTGTCCCCTGTGCTGCCAGGTGTCACAGGCAACAGCAGCTGTCACAGGTATCAGCAGCTGTTCCCTGCGCTGCCAGGTGTCACAGGTAACAGCAGCTGTTCCCTGCGCTGCCAGGTGTCACAGGTAACAGCAGCTGTCCCCTGTGCTGCCAGGTGTCACAGGCAACAGCAGCTGTCCCCTGTGCTGCCAGCTGTCACGGGTAACAGTAGCTGTCTCCTATGCTCCTAGCTGTCACAGGTATCAGCGGCTGTCCCCTGCACTGCCGGCTGTCATAGGTAACAGTGATTGTCCCCTGTGCTGCCTGCACAGGTAGCGGTGGCTGTCCCCTACGCTGCCTGCTATCACAGGTAACAGTGGCTGTCACAGGTGACAGTGGCTGTCCCCTATGCTCCTAGCTGTCACAGGTAACAGTGACTGTCCCCTGCACTGCCGGTTGTCAAAGGTAACAGCGGCTGTTACAGGTGACAGTGGCTGTCACAGGTATCAGCAGCTGTCCCCTGCACTGCCAGCTGTCACAGGTATCAGCAGCTGTCCCCTGCGCTGCCGGGTGTCACAGGTAACAGTGGCTGTCCCAGGTGACAGTGGCTGTCCCCTATGCTGTCCCAGGTGGCAGTGGCTGTCCCCTGCGCTCCCAGCTGTCCCAGGTGGCAGTGGCTGTCCCCTATGCTGTCCCAGGTGGCAGTGGCTGTCCCCTGCGCTGCCGGCTGCTGCTGGAGCGAGCTGTCCCGGTGTGTCGGCCGTGCGGGCCGAGCGGGGCGGCAGCAGAGGAAGCCGGGCAGGAAATGAGTCAGGCCGCAGCGCGGCCCAGTGTGTGGCTGTAGCGCCGGGTTACTGGAGCAGCGGAGAGGGGAGGAAGTGTTGCAACAACTTACACTCATATCTGTGTTTCTCTCTAAAACAGCCTCGTTATAGAAAAATCTAAGATCAGAGGATTTTGGGGAAGCGTTGCTGCACAATTAGTGCAAGATGTCGTGACCTACTGCTAGTTCTGAGAAGAGGGAGAGCATGCACGGCTACTCCTCAGAGCTGCTCTGCACCCAGTGGAAGGGGACAGTCTCATGAAAAGGAGACTTTCATGAAGTTACTGATTTTTGATCTTCTGTTCTGAGTTTTCTCCCATGATAACTGAGTATTGTGAATGATGAAGCACACTGGAGCTTTATATTTTCCCAAGGATTTAAAGATAAAACTTAGGAGGTGTATTGATACTTGAAAGTTGTGAAGGGGAGAATCTCTATTTCTCATTACTTTTACATGAGAGAATTTAGTGTAAAAAGGTTATAGTGGCGTGTGTACATTTGTATAATTTCACATCTCTCTCTTCATGCTTTTCATTTTTTACAAGACTCCTGACCAATTGGGTCCCCAGAAGAATGAGATGAATGAGAAAGGCATCCTATGGGGAAGGGGGTGGAAACAGAAGCAAGTGGTATTTCCTACAGAAAGAGAGGAAATAAAGTGTGACATTCCACTGCCAACTGGGTTTTGGTTTGCTCTATTGTCTCCATCCATAATTCTTTGCCTTCTTGATTTTTTTTATAATACATCGAAGTGAAAAATCTCCTCTTTTAACACAGGCTCCTCCAAGTACTGTTTTTGTACCATTTCATGACTATTAAATGCTGACCATCAGAAAAAATTTGGTATGATGTGGATAATCAGCCTTTGCTTACAAAATGCTGATTGCATTCTTTAGGCATATCACTTTTAAATTCATGAAAAAAGAAAATGATGAAGGGGGTGGATGGATCAGTGAAGTCCATTCTTTGAATACTAGACACTTGCAAAGCAGCTGCTACGTTGAAATGTCCTTGTCTGCTTCGTGGGAGGATAGTTCAAATTGTAGTCAGAATTAGGACTGATACACCCAATTATGTGAGGGTGTGACAAATGAAAAAGGAAATGCCTGGTATTTTTATTTGTAATATGAAACTAACCTATAATAATACTACTGGTATTAAATTTTGTATGTTCCAGTGGATCAGTTTCATTGGAATACAGAAAATAGTTCTGCTTATATTAATAGAGAGTATTTTTGAAACATTACTTTAAAAGTATGACTGAAGTTGAAATACTAGTAGTAGGGAATATATGATGCTATGGGTGTGGTATGTGTCTTTTATCATCATGGTTTCATATTATTTTAAATATGTGTTCATACAATCTTTATAGAGACCCCACATTTGCTCCATATGATTATATGGCTGAAGAAACACTTCCTTAGCTACAGTTTGCTTTTAAAAAACCCCAACATTTTAATGGAGTCTTTTATGTTACTCTGCTGTAATAGAGAAAAAACGAATATCAGTGAAAATGCTGATTTCAGTCAATGAGAGCACAGGAGATTCAAGAGGACTTCTGGGTGTAGCAGGGAAATTAAGGGTGCCATTCAACAGCAACGTCTTTTGATTATAGGAGAGCTGAATGCACTTCCACAGTTTAATTCTGTGGAGTTATTTAAAGTTTTAAAGCTGTCAAGAAAGCTATGACAAATCAACTGGTGGTCCACCTGCAAGAGTATGGGAAGAAATAGAGTCGACCAAACAAGTGCTATTTTTCTCTCTTTTAACATAGAGGGAGAAAAATGTGTGGCAAAGATACTCAGGTAGCAAATGAGTCCTTAGCAGGTGAACATGGACTAAGTGGTGATACTTTTGTGGGGTGGAAAGCAGATAATGGTTCTCTGGGTTAGGCTCTGGACTGGGAATTGCATCTTTTTTCCCACCCTGGGTCTGCCACAAATTTCCTTGATGAAATAAGCAAGTTGTTAATGGCTGTGGCCTCTGTTTTACTTTTCACAAAATGGGATTCTGACCCCTTCCTCTCCCAAGGGTCTATGAGGTTAAATAAAAGGATGTTTATAAAGTAAGCTTATATTTTATTTTTTTTAGGAAAAAGTTGCAGTTTCAACATTTTCGAACAATATTCTCAGCAGAGGAAGACTCTTGGTTATTACATTTACTCACACGGTGGTGCTATCATACATATGTGCTTTCTCTTAGTGTTATCATCCCACAGCAGTGGGAGGCTTGGGAGGTTCTGTACAAGTCCTGTTTTCTGGAGTGAGGAAAGAGGTCACAGACACCCTGCAAAAGGGAGCCAGGGCTGGCTGCCACAGATACTATTCTGTTGTGTGACACCCCCTGCCAACCTCCACTTCTGTGAGCTCCTTCTGCATGCTGGGACACCCCAGTAAGGTATAAGAAGGTCTTGGGGTGCACTCCTCCTTCAGTGTAGAGGGGAAGATGTCCCTCTTTTCCCACCCTAAGTAAGCCTGGTTCTGCTTGTGTGTGTGCTGTAGGTGTTACGAAATGCTCTGTGTACTCACACGCCTTATGAAATGCCTCCAACCTCTCTCTTCATGTCCCTCTCCTCCCTTATTTTGCAGGATGTAATTCAGCTGGTCCTTTTCAACCTTTTGTTTACAACTGCCATTTTTGTGCTGCCAGTTGCTAAGTATTTGGCACTGCTCAGTCTCACTGTTCCTCCCTCCTCTTTAGGCAAAGAAAGGGCACAGCATATCTCCAAGAATGTATGTGCTCTAATTCCAGTGATACGACTACTGTTCATCTGGCGCTCTCAGTCTGTGCACATTTGAGCACTTTGAACTGTAGGAAAGGGGTAAATAATCTGTCCCTGGGCAGTAGGACACAGTGATTACTGCATAAAGTGTTACAGAGGCATCACCAGGTGCAGGAACACCAGTGACACCCCAATTAATCCTTACTCAAACACAGGCACACGCCTCTTCTATCACTTTCTCTTAGGCAGCCCCAGAGTATGAATGCTGTTGGCAGGGCATGTGTGGAGGTAAGAAATGTGGTGGGAGGTGGAATTTTGGTAGATGTGATTGATTTACGACAGGAGTTTCCTTTACAGTCATAAGGGGAATTTTGCTTGGTCACAGCAAGTTTGAACCCTCATGAAACAACCTGAATCATTTGAAGCTAAAATAAAACAGAGAATGGCAGGGGGAGGGGCATGACCGTTAGGGAGGAAAAAAAAAGTCAAAAAACACATTAAAATAGTTTCCCTTAGTGCTGACTTCTTAAATGGGAATGTGTTCCAGAATAGTTCTGCTATGTAAGCCAACATTTGTTTTAAGACTTTTTATTGTCTTTTTCCCTCTCTTCCCCTTGCCCTCCCTCTCTGCTCTGCAGATTTACACTGACTGGGCTAACCACTACCTAGCAAAATCTGGCCACAAGCGGTTGATCAAGGATTTGCAACAGGACATTGCAGATGGAGTTCTGCTAGCAGAAATCATCCAGATCATCGGTAAGACCAGGGCTGAGGGAAGCACTGTGAGCTGACTCCTTGCGTGGGGGCATATATAATTCAAGTTGAATGTATTTAACAATAAGATGAACCCTGAATAATACAATTTGACTGGGTCCATATGTCTCTGATATTTGTGCGGTTCATCCTTGTCTTAATTAAAAAATATGTTTATGTGAGCATGTTTGGAAGTTGCTGTTTAACCATACTTTAAATGGCCAGAACTGTATCTTACACACTTTGAATTGTCAGAAATGAATGCTCCATTAAACCATATGTCTCCCATGTGTGCATTTTGTTAGTTGGAGTGGCTCATACTTTCTGGGATGCCTTGAAACTGTATCCTGACCCTGCAAAGACAATTGTGGAAGATTTCATGTCAGCAGTTATTTTGCAGGGGCTGAAGAATTAGCAGCGACCTCCTTCGCACTTCCCCCTTTGCATGATTTGGCATATGGAAGCAACTGCTGCTAACAAGAGTGTTGTTACTGTATGACTGAGCTTTACTTAGAAAAGAGCTCTCTGTCAACAAAACCCTCTGCATTTTATTGCTGTGCCTTTTCTGTTTTTCTTCAGGGGTTTTTTTTTTTTCTGTTTTGATTTTTAGGTTTTTGGGTTTGAGTTTTCTTTTTTTCTTTTTTTTTTATTTTTTGACCAGGGGTTGGAAAGGAAACTTTTATCTCATTGTTTACTTTTGCTTTTCCCCTCACTGTTTTTGTTTAGCAAATGAAAAGGTTGAAGATATCAATGGCTGTCCACGGAGCCAATCTCAAATGGTAAGAATAAAATATATTTTTAGTTTGTGTTGGCACTACTCCACTTTCCTAAAATGTTTTTTAATAAGGATTTCTATAAAATATGAATATTCTGTCCCATTATTACCATAAAGTCCTAATTCTTATACAGGTTCCTGATACTTATTTTCCACACATGCTTAATGTTTTTAACTTTGTTTCTGTGCTAACTTTGGATCTTGAGATAACCTGGCAGCAAAACTTCATCACTTCTAATTAATCCAGAATTGCCTTATCAGACCTGTTCTTCTGTGGATCCAAATAATTCCATTTAGCTTCATTTTAAGGACAGTGAATCCAAGAGTAAATTATTAAGTGGAGTCTTTGTGTCTGGAAAACTGGTTTGATAAACAGCACTTGCCAAATTATTTTTAAAATATAAATAGCCTTTTGGATTGTCCACTGTGAAGTCCAGTTTGATGACTCCAAGGCTTTCAGAAATAGCACTTTAGTCATATAGCTCTCTGAGCTATAGCTGGCAGCTGTCTAAAGACTTTTTAATACTCTCAGACAAGAAGCATTTAGTGACTGTGATTCATATGGAGTCCTATTAATCTTTTACTGTGTTTATGGCTAGTGAACTACATTTAATAAGATGAAACCTCCTTAGAATACTGTGAAAGTGACAGACACAAAATCTGAGCCTCAGTAAAATCATCATTCATTTATTGAATCATTTGCAATCCAAGTCATGTTCTCCCATGCTGAGGTCTTTGCCTTTCTGTTCACATTCAAATAATATATAAATAAGGTGCATAATTGTGTAGCTGGCAAGGATTTTGGAGTATAGTGATTTGGTTGAACTTGCATAATGGTAAACTTCTGAAACTGGGTTTAAAATGGAAATTAAACAGAAAAAAAAGTTCATTTTTTCAGTGCATTTTTAAAGATGGAAGGTGTTTGCAGCTTTTTTCTGCAAAGTGTCAAAAGGGTACTAGTAAAGTGAATAATGAGGTCTTTTGGTTCTTATTGTTCAAAGAATGTTCAGATTTAGAATAAGTTTTTTCTCTGACTTTCAGACTTTTTGAAACAGTCCATAGAAAGAGCACACACAATTTCCTTAATAATAGTTATTATTTTAATTACTCATATTACAGCAGCACCTAGTGGCCCTGGCTGAGAACATTGGGAACTCCAGCATGGAACTCTAATATTACACACACAGATAATCGCTCTCTACTTCAGTCATGTTAAAACTTGCCATTCCAGACAGGCAGGACAAACAGGGAGACACAAAAGCACAGGGAAGAGGTGTGATTTTCCAAGGTTATGTAAGTGGTTAGTGGCCATCTAGGACTGCTTAGGGACCCAGCACTCTGTTGTCCATCAAGCTTCATTTCCATGACAAAGATGAGCTGCAGAGAGAACTATCCACTCTAGCAATGTTTGTATCTCCAAAACAACATTGGTGTATGTTCCCTGTTGCATTTTTATGTGGAAAAGGGATTCTTGATTTCATCTCTAGCTCCATGCAGCTATGGAGGAAACATGGTCAGTGCATGCCCATGCTGCAGCGGTACTTGTGGCTCTCCTTGTGTCCATCTTTCTCCTCCCATAAGCCCATGCCACAGCTCAGCCAGGCCAAAGAATATGTCCCAGGTGCTCTGGGTGTCAAACCAGGTGCTTTGAAAGCTGCTGTGCATAGTCATGCATCACTGTTTACACAGTGGCTACAGTGTCACATTTAGCCACTTTAACTTCATAGTAATATATTTATTTATCTGTCCTTTGACACAATCTCTTTACTGAATTGTTTTGTCTCTACAGACAGATCAGATTATTCTCCTGACTTTTCACATACCTGTTCTATACCACTGATTTCTTAACTAAGTTAGGAAATTTAAAATGTACTGAAGTTAAAGTAATTCAAACTTGTCAGTTTTTCTCTCAGAGACCTCAGGTTTTAAGCCTGCTCTCCATTTGTTTCCTTTGGGCTCTGCACTGGTTTAACCTAGCCAAAGGCACAATTTTACCATATTTTCAGGTATGAATTTTCCTTGGCAGTGCTCAATTTTGCTAGCCTGCTCAGTTAATTGTAGGGCAGTTCCCTTCTCCTTATAGCAGTGGACTCTTGAGGTGTTTGTGATATGCAGGGGAAAAAAAATAACAGTAGTCAAAGCTAGTTTGCATGTTGTATGTTTGTCATACACCAGCATGTAGCAATGTGTCCTGTCAGTACATGCTAGAACATCAGCCATCAAACCAGCAACAGTCAAAATACTCTACTAACATTTGTTAGCCATTCATTCACTGCTTTAATTTAAAAAAATTTAGTTAATAAACCTCAAGATTCCCACTGCCCTCTTCTTGAACGTATGTTTTCATAATCCTTGCTCTCATAACTTGCAATTAAGGGGAAATGTTTTCCCTATTCATCTGCCATTTGATACCCTTCCAGGAGGTCTTTGATACCCATTTACAGGAGGTCTAAGATAGTTTATTATTAACTTTAAAAAAGCTAGAGAGCACTGACATGGACTGTCTGCTGTTGGAAATTCCTGATACTCTCTGTGGTGGATGATATTGATACCAGTTCATAATTAATCACTACCAATATTCCCAAAGTCTGTTCCACTCATAATTTGGTTTTCCTCTTGCCAATGGCATCATCTTTCAAGTGAATGATGCCAATGGCATAATCTTTCAATCGAGGCATCTCAATTCAGCTGTTACTGAATTTAAATTGTAAACATATTTTAATGTTTATTTTAAATGTATATAAAATACTTCGTTTTTCTTTAGTTAGTTCTATTGCAATGTCTTGTGCGCTGTGCTCATTTTGGCATTGATGTATAAATACTTGCAGACAAGTTGAATTGGCTCCATAGGTCCAAGTTCATAACAACTAAAAACCTGTGAAGCCCAGCAGCACCCAGCTTCTGCATAGTTAACTTTACCAGGATTCATTATGTTCACCCATTTGATGTTGCACACAGAACCTGAGTATCTGAGATGTACTGGGGGATAAATTATCTCATATTCAAATCTCAGAAGTTTTAAATAAATTAAATTAGCAAGAAAATTGGGGAGGTTTGCTTGTTTGCTGGGTCAGTCTACGGTGGTGAAAAGATTTTAGTATTTCTTATTAATTGTTTTTGTAAATACAATAAGGCTTTAAACCTCTGTGTATTGCAGCATATGTCTGTCTGGAGTGTCACGTAGAGTCTTGGCTATTTTTCCTTACCGTTATGCTTCCAAGGAGCAATATAGAACTTCTATTTTTTCATCATCTTTTTGAATCCCTTCAATGGAAAATAATGCCACATGAATTTTTATCTTTTCCTTGTATGGATTATTCCATAAGTCTATCAATTAAGGACATTTCATATCATCTTTATTTAGAAAATAATGGGTTTATCTTTTGATAAAATCCAAAGCTAATTCCTTTCTGCTTCTTTATAACTCATTTGTTTCTTTAATTTCTCTTTTAAGTTCCCTCATCATTAGAAAAAACGAGATAGCTTTTTTGGTAGAAAATACATTATAAAGCTTTTATCTAATTGTTCAGAGAGAAAGCATTCAGGGTTTGGGGTTTTTTTTCTCCTGAACAAGTGATAAACATAATGGGAAATCTCCAGTGTTTCAGCTTTTAGCACATCACATCAAACATACAGTAATCACATAAAACATACCAATTCAGTCCATGCTGGGGTAGTTGGAGAAAATGCAAGAGAATCAAAAAGGTGCTAGACTGAAAATCCTTTAATGGTGAGATTTTCAGTTTTGTCTCTAGTGACTTTTTAAAAACTCATGTTTCTTTTCTTTCCTCACGTAGTTTACAGTGCTGTCAGCAGCATAAATCGTAAAATAAATTCAAAGTTGACAAAAATTTTTAGTTTATTGCACTTCAAGTTCATTTTTCCTTCAGAGATCAATGCTGCCTTAATAGGTGTTTTTTAGAATTAGCTCTTGCTACTTCCCACAAGAACTGTCTCTGCTGATATCCATCTCGGTACAAAAGCGTCCTTAATTTTTGTTGGTAGCGGGGGTTTTCTCATGGTTATGATAGTGCTGGAGAGACCTTTCTTATTAAAGAGTTTCCCAGTGTTGTTGTGTGCACTTCATGAAGACTATTTTTTATTTTGTCAATCTGATCTTTGGCACACTTTTCTACTTGTTTTTACAACCCAAGGTATGCATCAAAGGTAATTTTATGGTTTAGAATACAGATATGCTGCAGTCCCACAGAGAAAATTGAGTTCACTAATAATACAGGTCTTGTTCCTCCTGGAAAACAGGGAGGAGAGAAGAGGTGTTGGAGCTGTAGAACATTGCCATATCGATAAGAATCTTTACTAAAAAGCTTTAATTATCAGAGCGAGCACCCATTTTGGGTGAGCAGCAGTGTATCTGATAAAAGTGGGAATTGCTGTGACTATTTTTAGAACCTATAAGACAATTTCTACAACATAGTTCTTGATTTCTTTAATAATGCCTTTAAAAAGATGCTAATAAGTTTAAAATATTTTGTAAAAAAGACAGAAGAATGCCAAAAATGTTGCTTTATTGAATGAGACTGAAGAAAAGTTGTGGATGTTAACAGAGGAAGGTAACAAGAGCAGGTGAATCAGTCTCTGCTTAACCAGGGAGCTTTTTCTGTAACAGAGAAAGTTAAAGAAGTGTGTGAAGCCTCAGGACAGACACAGAATACTGTGTATATACTGGTAGACATTGCTTTGTTATTTATTGTGCGAGATGTGCTCCATAGTGTTCCTGTAGTCCTGCAGAAGCCCATGGTGGCTCCATCTCTGCTTGTATGCTTGGGTTTTTCTCTGGAGGAGGACAAGGTTGCAAGAGGATGGGGTGCATGCAGATCTTTTCTTAACAAGGAGTCAGCCTGTGGGCAGGATAAATGGGTGGAAACTGCAACTGCTAAATGTGCCATGTGTCCTTCAGACTTCCTCTGACACGGATATGCTGGGCAGACACTGTGGAATAGCACCCATCCGTGTCCATGAATGTCAATATCCAAGGATGACAAC